CTTTATATTTGCCCGACAATGCCGACTTCACAATCACTATTCGGGAGGGGGGGGGGGATAACAGCAAGCAGAGGGTGATCTCGGCCAAAAACGCACCATTTTGGGATATTTTCATGGTTACGGAGTCATTTTCACGGTCACAGGACCGTGACAATTTTTAGGTCAGCGAGACGCACAATGGCTTTTGGAATTTGCTAACTTCACGGTCTAGGGGTGATTTTCACCCCCTCAAAGCATGAAAAATGAGTGATGCCCGTGAACATTGTACAACCTCCACTTTTTGGCTAATTTTGACCTCTGAATGACGCGAAACTCGTCCCGGACCTTCCCACATGTACTAGGACCTGAAATGTGACAAAAGAAGCACAACCTAGCGTAAAATAAGTCGAGGAAAGATGATAACCAAGTCAAACAATCAAGATATAAGGGGTAAAGTATGTGTAATTATGCCTGAATCAGTGGTTGTAGTTTATGAGAAGTGTAAGGCTGAAGTCATGGATAACATAAACAACTAAAAGACATAGAGATTGAGAATATCGGGGGGGATTGATTGAAAAAAGTAGCAAATGGTGAATGCTTGTTAATAAGACGATTAATAAGATAGCAAGACGTGTCAAAGACAAGAAGTTGCACTTTGTTCAACTATTGTTGACAATTTGAAGGTGTTTTCGTTCTGCATTACCATTTTGTTCAAGAGTATATGTACTTGATGAATGTTGAACAATACCATTTTCCATAAGATAAGAAATTAGTGCTTGATATTCACCAGCCCAATCAGACTGGGGAAAAATCTAATGGGAAGGCCAACGAATTTTCAACAAGTTGACAAAATTGAATAAAAACATTAGGAAGCTAGGATTTATATTGAATAAAATAAATCCAGCTAAACTTACTAAAATGATCATAGAACAACACACAATACGATTCATGATCATAGGAAAAACAAGAGCATGGCCCCAAAGATAACAACATATAAGTTCCATGACATAAGAAAGAGGAACAAGCGGTCCCGCGGACTGTCAACTCGGTTGTCCATAGAGTGGCAAGACAAGCCATGTTGCTGTCCTCTTTAGAGATAGCTTCTTTTGACTTTGTAGGGTGGCTTCACTAGCTGTTGCTTGGGGGGTTCTGGGTAGAGGCTGTAACTATTTTACCTTGTCATTAATTGAAAAAAGGGGAAGGATCAGAGTACTTTATTTGATGACTAGACAATTAAGTGTTGAACAACACGAAGATTAGCATGTCAAAGACGTAGATGCCAAAGATCAAGTGAAGCGGAAAAGACACGAGGTGTAAGACATCGACTGATGTGGAGAGAAAGAGTGTAAAAGCTCATCAATCGTATCATCATGGTATAGCTCATGCTTCGTGTGACAGTCTTTGATTACAAATAAGAGTCAATGAATTCAATGAAAATAGGATTAAAACGAGTAAGAGAGCTGATTGAAAGAAGATTAAGTTGAGCATTTTGAACACGAAGAATTATCAAGGGAAATGAATAATGGGGAATGGACGTAGTAGAAGAACCCTGATGAGATATTGAGAGACAGAGAGAGTTTTACCATCGTCAAAGATTACTTGATTGGTGTCATTGTACTCGGGATGATGGACCAGATTATCAAGATTCGAAGTCAGGTGATGATTAGCATTATAATCCATTTACCACTTTTCGGAATAATGGGCTGACTGAGAGGCTTGGGCTAGGTGAGAGGCTGAGCCAGTCAAATAAGGGGGCTAGTAAAATAGCTTGGGCTGGAACAATTGGGCCGATTATGCCCATTACCCCCACAATTATGACAAATAAGAGGAGTTGGGCTTGAGGGCCCCCAGCTCCAAGCACTCCATTGTGTGTGACGCCTCTGCTACGAGAGCGTCGTCCTCCTGTCCGCGAGCTGAGTCATTGAAGAACACCTACGTCGAAGAAATTCCACCGGACAATAATGCTCAGAATTGCTTAAGTTCCAGCTCCTCACTGACAAGTAGGGATGGCAACAAAACCCGAACCCACGGGTACCCACCCGACCCAACCCGGTCAACGCGGGTAAAATCCGTGTTGACGGGTTTTGGGCCGGGTTTGGGTTTAAACCCGTTCACTATTTACCGGGTTGGGTTGGGTTTGGGTTTAGGTAAACCCGGCCCGTGGGTACCCGCCCACTCATATAATTAATTTTTTTCGGTATATTTAATATTCTAAACAACTATTCTTATTTATGTTTGTGGAGACATGTCTAATTTTTCTTTTTAATTGTGTAGAATGAAATTGATGTTATGGAGTGGAGACTAAAGAAACTTAATTGAAAGAAAGAAGCTTTCAATTAAACATGTTATTTATGGATAATTTGTGATTTGCTTCAATTTTCTTGAGTTTTCTAGATTGGTGTTGAACAATTTGTATAGTTAATTTGTGATTTGCTTGAATTTTCTAGAATGGTGTTTTATATATGGATAATTTGTATTGAGAGATTGATATTTGACTTTAATTTTGATAAGAACTTGTAATTGTAAATTTTTTACGGCAAAACCCGTGGGTACCCATGAACCCGCGGATACCCAACGGGTTGGGTTGGGTTTGAGTTTTTCAAACCCGGTGGGTTTTACCCCGAGTTTTTTTCAAATATAAACCCATGGGTTTGGGTTTGGGTTTGACAAAACCCGACCCAACCCGACCCATTGCCATCCCTACTGACAAGGAGGCTACCAAGGTCTTCAAAGGATACTTGCTCGAGCTTCGTCTTCATATTGCGTGTAAAGGGCTGGAAGTCTTCATCGAGGCCATCAAGAATGGCGATAACGATGTAAAGTTTGGTACTAGGAGAGCCGAGTATTGTCAATTGATAAAAAATACCCTTCGCTCGCCGTAAATAAGTGTGAGCAGAGTCGGAGTCGCAGGTGATGTGATTGAGAGACCTTAGCAGCTGAGTGACAGTCACCGGTGACCCAGACACATATATACTCGAGCAAGTGACACCAGGCAGCATGTGTAAATGGTTTGTTGATGATATTGGGCATCACTGCTTTAGACAAAGAGAGGGTTATCCAAGTAAAGACTAATTGGTCACGTTCACACCATGTATTGTATGTTGGATTTGGTTGTGTATCAATTTTCTTTAGAGGTGGAGGAGAAGTGTCGTTGACGTGGCCGATGAAATCAAAGAAGAGGTTGTAGTTGTACCTTCCGCAACAAGTAACCGGTTGGAGTAAGCTTCAAAGTCAACTGGAATTTGATGGGAGGGAGCGAGTAGGAGTCGAAGCGAAGGAGGGAGCAGAGGAACAGGAAGTAGTAGAAGAAGTCGACATTGCAGCAAAAGAAAAAGAAAAAAAGAGGAAAGACAGCAGGTGGAAGAACCGAAGAAGTACTCGTCTGAGTTTAATGATGCTCTGATACCAATACCAATACCATGAACATGGAATGAAATCGTGACTTTCTCATTATTGAACAACAATTTTTTATACGACAGAGTGGCCGTTTACTAAGGCCTATATTCCTATGCAAAGATGTCTCTAAACCGATGAGTATGAGTGTATGACTTCCCTTGTCATAAAGAAGCTAATGGGTCCAAGCATGAAAACAAGCAAATGGGAGCCATCATGTCATTTCATCGGCCAATCTATGACTTGAGTATGAGCTCAAGAAAAGGTACGGACATGGTGGGAGATCTCCCCCATTTCCAGCAAGCCAACCAACCCATCCTTCCTCCATACATTGCCAACCCCTTTTGAGCTTGCAAAAGTCACTAAAACCCACAGCAGCTAATTACAATACAAACTGAAGCTTCAAAACGCTAATCAAGAAACTTTCGAGTAATTAACGAAGACCCACCACCACCTCTGTCTGCACATGGCCGGCTTTTCTTTAGACCTTATCACTATAGCATTATTCATTTCCTTTTACATAGCATGCCCGGCTCCAAGTGATCGAAACCGAAAGCTACCTCCACTTGTTCATCCTTTCTACACACGCAATGCATTTGGGTTATGCCTAATTATGAGAGTTGAAGGCTTGAGTATATGATTTCGAGCCTACAAACGATGCAATGTTCGACACTCAACCCCTTCCTTTTATCTTTAATCTTCGACTGGCATGGGTCAGCTCGAGCGGTGGGGGTAATCTGATGGCCAGGGCCGCCTTGACCACGCTTGTAGGCCCTCGATTCGGCCTTCTTCCATTTTGACAATGAACAACTTTCCCAACCGGATTGAATATGTAACTTACAGAATTGCAAATTTTACACCTTACGAATTTAACTATAATCACTCGTATCTTACACGAAGAAAGGTCAATTCAAGTCGATCAAGTTGTTGAATGAGTTTAGTGATAAAAGAAAATGTTTATAAGAGTTCTAGTAAACAAATATTACTCTCCCTCGTATAAGACTTTATGATTTGATGATGGGAGCATGGAGTAATGACATGAAGGGTGGGATGCTGGGATGTGTAAGAGAGTGGTATATGATCTATAATTAGCCTTCTTCCAACAACTTGATTTACCTGGGACTAACTAACTGGTTCTTAACAGAATTCACGAACTAGACACTAAATTTAGAAATGGTAAGGTGGGTTGTTTACTTAGGAGCATGGTCATCAGTGAGATAAGGAGGGAGCTCTGCTGACGAGTGTATTTGAAGAAAGGCTTGGATGTCCCTGAGTTGCTCGGTAAGCTACAAGAGGTTTTGGAGTAGGAGAGTGAAGGCTCTGCAGATTTTGCTGCTTGTATAGATTAGGAAGTAGAATGTGACTGCTGTAAGAAACAAATACTTGTCCCCTACAATTGAACTTGAGTCCCACTCCATCTAAGATTTACATGGACAGAAAGGAACATTCTTCTGCCATGTTAGTTTAGTTTAGTGCACAGGAGAATACAGATCAAGCAGGCTGACCTAAAGAATTATATTCCCTGTCTGTCTCCAGATAGCCTTAGCCCTTTCTTTAGCTACATCAATGGAGTCTATGCATAATGGGAAGTTCAAGACATAATGATAAGCCCAAGCTTACCGACACTTCCCTTTAATCAATTGCAAAACTATTAGAATTCATTCAATCAATCAGTCCAAAAACTATAGAAAAGTAATGAGAAGACTTGGCTATGCCGGCCTCCTTTCCACTGTGGCCTGGCCAATGTATCTGTTTTGGCTGACAAATGCCCGCCTTTCCCTTATTCTGCGACTTCAACTTTTCTGCAGAGCTGATTTTTCCATCCCTAATGACAAACACAACACCCTGGCAAAAAAGAAAACTGAGCGTGGCAAGGCAGCCGCTCCACTACTGTTGGCGGCCGGTGTGGCAAGTGGCCATAATCATCTTCTTATGGTTGAATATGGGACCCTTTTCTTCCTTTTCCCCATTATTCTTCATATACTGCCGCAGAGACTGCCAAATGTCGCAGGTTCTTCAAGCAGCTTGGTGCTCTCTTATATCTCTGTTTTTGGATCAGGCTGAGGACGTATGGGAAATGAGATGGGGAACACTAACAGTACGTCTGATGAGTTCCAAGGTATCCCTCTCTGCTTTTCACCACTTGCCTATCTTTTCCTTTGTTTCCCTGCATTTGAGAGCTTCTTTAGCTGGGTAATGAAATGCTGAATGAAGGTGCAGGAGAAGAGGGTAGCACAAAGGTGGCTCAACAAGATCAAGGGAAAACTGTTCCACCACCTGTAGTTTCGGTGAATGATCCCGGATCAGATGGAGCTCTTGATCGTGTGAATGGTGGAGAAGAGGGTAGCACAAAGCTGGTTCAACCAGCTCAAGGGAAGCCAGTTCAACAACCTGTAGTTTCGGGGAATGATCCGGGATCAGATGGTGCTCTTGATCTTGTGAATGGCGGTAAAGGAGGTAACTTTGTTGTTCCAACACACTGCCTCGATCTCTCACTGCAGAGCATAAGAAGAGTTGATTTAACTTCACAAATCATGATTTTACGCTCCTGTAGATCGTGAAGTGGAAGAGGAGAGCCAACAAGTTCGTGATGATATACCAACAGCTGAATCTCCGGAAACCAACCCGGAATTTGATGATGATGAAACAAGAAGAAGACCAGAGAGCAATCTTCAACCAAGTAGTTTGATCGAGGAACCGGAACAACTTAAGTCTGATTTAGTTGAACGGCAGGAACCAGTCAAGCAAGGTTAGCCAGGCTTAATTCACTTCATAGTCAATGAACAATCGAATATTTCTAAAGACTCTTCATGCAGGGTAAGAAATCTAACTAATTGATGCTGTAACCTTTTGGAACTTTCTCCTACAGAGGAAGCAGAGAAGTTGACATTAACTTCCATTGCTGAATCTCCAAACCCAGAGGCTGATGAAACAAGAAGCAAAGACAGTGAACTTCAACTCCATAGTTTGCCTGAGGAATTGGAACAGCAGAATTTGGATTTGGTTGCAGAGCAGGAATCGTTCAAGCAAGGTCAGTCTACTTCACTCCATATGGCAACAGCTTTTTCGGGTTGTTTGGATATTGGATTTCCAAATTCACCGATTTTAAGACTACATCTACAGATACCTAATTGATTCCGTGGAATGGATTATATTTATGTCCACACTGGCAATTGTGTCACACTCCATCTATGGGCACAATCATGAATTAGAGTGAACAGACTAGATGAAATAACAAACAGGTCTAATTGATGCCTTGACTATAGAGCTTTCTCCTTTCAATCTGCAACAGAGGCGACAGAGATGCTGATCTCCACTTCTACTGCTGAATCTCTGGAAACCAGCCCGGGATTTGATGACACAAGAAGCAAATATAACAATCTTCAATCAGATGATTTGGTAGAGGAAACAGAAGAACTCAGCCCTGATTTGGCTCAAGGTTGGTTAGCATACTTCATTCCCTTCGCCAAAAGAAATAGCTTCTTGATCTAATTGATGCCTTCAACTTTAAAACTTTATCATTTCTATCTGAACAGAGGAGGCAGAGATACCAAACCCTACTACTTCCACTGATGTGTCTTCACATGAGGAAGACCATCTGGATTCCTATGAACTGATTGAATCAGTACCAAGTCAAAATGAAGGCAACTCAAGTTCAACAGTTCTGTTTCCTCAACATGAAGAGCATCTGGATTCTGGCGAGGTGGATCCAAAAAAAGATCATAGTTCAAGCATCGCAACTGCTGTGTCTTCACATGATGAAGAGCATCTGGATTCCTATGAACTGATTGAATCGGTATCAAGTCAAAATGAAGGCAACTCAAGTTCAACAGCTCAGTTTCCTCAACATGAAGAACATCTGGATTCTGGCGAGGCGGAGCCAAAAAATAGTTCAACCATCATCACAGAGCCAAGTTCTGCTGACATTACTAGTTTGCAGAATGGTAAGCATTTAGACGATCATACCTCTCATAATCTTGAGGGTTTTCTTGAGCCTGAGAGCATAATAAAGGAAGAGTTAATGGCAAACCAACCTATATCTCCACGATCCGAGATAACTACTGAAGAAGATTCGGAAGAGTTATTGGCAAAACAGCATTCAGATGATCATAACTCTCATAATCCCGAAGGAGTTCTTGTGCCGGAGAACATAATAAAGGAAGATCTATTGGCAAACCAACCGGTATCTCCACGAGTCGAGATAGCTACTGAAGAAGATTCAGGAGAGTTATTGGCAAATCAGCATTCAGATGAGCATACCTCTCATAATCCTGAAGGAGTTCTTGTGCCTGAGAATATAATAAAGGAAGAGTTATTGGCAAACCAACCGGTATCTCCACGAACCGAGATAGCTACTGAAGAAGATTCTGAAGAGTTATTGGCAAATCAACATTCAGATGATCATACCTCTCATAATCCTGAAGGAGTTCTTCTGCTTGAGAACATAATAAAGGAAGAGTTATTGGCGAACCAGCTGATATGTCCACCGGCAGAGATAGCTACTGAAGAAGAATCTGAAGATGCGGTAAAAAATGGAAACAATCAGAATCAGGAATCAGAAAATGGGTCACAAATTGATTGCTCGACGGTGCCTGAAAATGAGAGCAACGGATCCCTAAATGAGCCTGCTTCTGAAGAACAGAAGATGGACCTTCCTCAATCGGGGATTACAACCACAGATAGCTCAAACAAAGAACAAGATTCTGAAGTAATCAAGCAGCAGAGAGAAGCTTCAGAAATCGAAAATGGCGGGGATGAAACAGAAGGTGAAGAAGGGTGTGAGCCAGAGTCGCCACCGGAGCAAGAGAAGGCTCCAGCTGAGAGTGGAGATTCTCCCCAAGACAGCAGCAGTACCTCCAGCTGGGAATTCAACCCTGGAAATGGCCCCGAATTCTTAGCCGATGTGGCTCCAACTTTCGTCGCCGATCCACAAGAACCCGTTGTTCCTTACCCAATCCAGCTTCCGGCGAAGAACGGGGAGGCCGATCAGCAATTGGGAAGGCTGAGCACCGACTCTGTACCTGATAACTTCAGCGTGAATTCCAAGATGCAGAAATCACCCAGCTTCAACCTCCATCTCCGGCGACGGAGCATCACCGAGGACTATTCCGATCAGACTCCGCTGCTCCAGCACTACCAGGACAAGAACACGATAATCCCTCCCACCAAACAGACCCACACTGTGGAATCGGTCAATCATGAAGAAGCGGTGCAGACGGAAGAGAAATTGGTTCAAACCCTAGAGAGGTGTGATTCTGAGACGTCGCTAATCGTGGGGCGGATGAAAGAGGGAGATTGTAACGGAGCCCCTCGCAAAAACAGCAGAGCATCTAAAGAGGAATCGGCGGTATTGGTTCCGTCGAAAGGGAAAGCGCAGAAGCAATACAGCCGCCGCCGGCCGACCATATTTTGTTTGTGTTGCACGGCAACCACCGCCATTAATTGATGATGATGAGCATCAATACTTCCGTTGCCGGTCTCCATTCACAATTCTTTTCTTCTCCTTTTGTTTGTCTGATTGTTTGGTTAAATTGGGATTTTTGTTCAAGCAAGGTTGTGGAGTTTTGTTTCCCCTATTGTATTTTCCCCGCGGAGTCATCGGCGTTGAGATCTTCTCCGGCCTATCGGAGGAAAGTTTGGAGTTTGGAAATGTAATTTTTTTGTTTGATTATTTGGACGGTAAAATATATCATACACGCTTTTTTAACATCGGAAACTTTTTCGGTTTTTCCCAAGATATTGTGGGTTTTGGACGAGTCTTACAAATTTTGTCTCGAGGCATATTAAGGTGACTTATAATAAGGTTACACATTCTTACAATCTTACTGTATTTCAAAGTGAGTACGTTTGATTTCAGAGTTCTTATAAAAGCTCTTCAATTCAATCTAAAATGTGTTTTATTAGTTAAAATCGATTTCTTACTTAGATCTCTCACATGTTTTATCATTGTGGGATTTGTTTAATGTGTTATAGTTATAAACACCCCTCTTTGTAGAGTGAAGGACTGGGCGGTCGGTTATAACCGAAAACCAAAGGCCCGGTTATCGGTTAGCCGATCCTCTCCATAGTCATTCCGACCATCGACCGAGCATGCTTTCTCGATCAATCGACCATCGAACGATCGGTTATCGGTTAGTGGATCGGTCGGTTGTGTAACCAAAATTGTGTTCGGCACTCGGAACTCGATAGGAAGATGCGGGGGGGGTACGGAAATCGCGGAGGGAGGGTGCTATTTTTGTAATTTCTATGGGCTGGGTGCTATTTTGTAATTTTTTTTTAAAAAAGGTGCTATTTCTGGAAAAATCCCGATAAAATTCTGTACGACCTTTTTCTTTGAAATCTTTATATAAGATCTTAACAATCTGTATTATTCAAAAAGTTTCATTTCATCTCGTGACGACTCTAAATTCAGCCTCAATGCAAACATCTATCTATCTATCTATCTATCTATCTATCTATCTATCTATACATAATATTATGGCACTTCAAAATTAATTTTTGCCACATAAGCACTTGGAGAGATCTCAAGTTGCCATGGTGGACAATTTTTTTTACCATAAAATAGTTATTCACCTATTTATGGAGTTGTCCCTCTCTCTTCATTTAATATTTAATTCTATTTTATCCAATAATTATTTTATTTTTGTTTTTGCATAATATCTATAAATAATATATGGAGAGAAGGTTATCAAACCGGTTTAGCAAGTGTAATGGTTTTACCAATGGTACAACCGGTTTGTGTCGTTTCATGTCGGTTAATAAAATATGTAGAAATATAAAAAATCATTAATATCAAATGAATTTAATCATATATAAACCATATTTGAAGATAATTTACGTACAATTCATATTGATATTTGAATAAAATATGATATTTCAAATAAAATTACATGTACTCGTACTTAAATTCACTAAAACTATGTATTTTACTTAGAAATTCGTAAAACGATTATACAGGTCATACCGATGGTGTTATGTCGATTTCATGACTGGTACCTGTTGAATGGTTCAACCGGTTGCATGCCGACCGACGTGACAATCATGATGGAGAGTGACATATATCACATTTTGGTTTTGCATTATATCGATGCACGCAACAGTATACTAATGTTCGTAGAGTGACATATATATCACACTTTTTAAACCAAAAAATATATGATTAAAGATTACTATGTAAATTTCTGCTCATTTTTACTAAAACTTAATAATAATTTACATTTTAATGAATAATTTAAACAAACACACAAAAACAATAATATTTTTGTCGATAATATCTGAAAGAAACTTGACCAAGAAATAATAGTTATTTATTAAAAAGCTTCTTATTCATTCTAATCAAGTGAAAACAAATGAATCGCATGTGCAATATTTATAAGGTATCCTAAATTCACATTACTAATATTTTCTCTAGGTCATGTTGATTGAGCAAGCTCTATTGAGGTCTTACATCATATGCTAAGAAATTTTCTTTTCAGACTTGGAGTTATTTATTGTTAAAAATTATAAATTGATGTTTCCAAAATGACTTAGAGTATAATAGTTGATGAACTTTGACTGAGACAAGAGATTTTTTTTTTCCAAGAAATGTCAAGAGAGAAAAAAAAAAACTATACAATCTACCCCAAAACCCTCCCAAACCAATACATCAGCGAAGCCACCCTACAAATACGAAGGAACCAATCTCAAGAGGAGAAGAAACAGGGCTTACTGCGCAACTCTATGGGCAGCCCCGTAAGCAGTTCTAGGAACTGCCCTAAACTCTAAGGAAACAGAAACTGAAGACAGGAGCCGGAAGCAATCACGTAGCACCGGACCTCCGAGGGAACCTGAAGAACTGCCCTGGCGAAGCTGACGAATCACCACTTCTGAGTCACCTTCGATGAAGACACAAGGGACTTGGAGACCAAGAGGGAGATAGCGTCTCGAGCAGCAAGAAGTTCTGCGAGGTAGGGGTCAACAATGCCTGTGTGCTGGAACCCTACTGCCAACGCCAAATGCCTATCTGTTCCACGAACCACTAGTCCAGACGAGCAACCGGAAGCACGAACCGCAGCACCAAAGAGATATTCAGATAGCCAACAGGAGGAGGGATCCAGGAGGTGAGGCGGGAGCTTGAGGGCTGAAGGGGAGGGATGGGTACCGGAGGGTGAGAGGAAGAGACTACACAGACTTTGAAAAAGCATTGACGAGCTAGAGACTGGGCATGAGGCTGATAATGCTAAAAACCACCTTATTTCGAGACTTCCAGATTCTCCACAATACGCAAACGTATAGGAGAACGTGGGTTTGGGGGTGCTCAGAAAGCATAACACGTCGCCATCAGAGACTGAAATTCACAGTCGGGGCCGAGGTTTTATTAGCTGCGAGCTCTGTCCCACAAGCTTCAGCGAGCTGGGATTTATCATTTAAGAGCTCACTAGAAATAGGTTGTTAATATTCCTCTCATCCCAAAATTGGGGAGGCTATTAAAAACCCTACAGGCCACTCAAAAGACGCTTCAATGTTCCTTTTGTTCACCATGCTTAGGCTTAGGACGTCATTAATGGGAAAATAGGTTACAAGCTTAATAATTGGCTTCTTAAACTCCTCTCCCACATTGAATTTGATCCATGACATTATGACATTTTAGTATTCTTTTCATCTAAAACATGAGATGTAAACCGACCATTAATGATTGTAAAGCATCATAATGAGATATTTTTCATCCCAAAATGAGAATTTAAACCGACTATTTAAAGTCGTAAAGTGTCATAAAGAGGTCGCTTTAATGATTCATTTGTATCGTCTCATCGAAAACTTCCTGTCGACGAGGCCAATTGCCAGTAAGGGAGGCCTACTGGTTTTAGCGACAAGGACATGATTAATTGTAAATAAACTCATGAATGAGGATCAGCAAAAATCACCCGGTGAATATACATCTTCACTAGAGAAACTCGGAAAGTCCTCCCTCTCCGAATTAAGTGTCATGAACGTGAATAATGGCTCACTAAAGGACTCATTAGTATAATTACAAAATTTAATAATGTTTTTAATTTATTTAGGATAAATAAATGCCTTTAAACACCAAATAATGGCAGATCATCCCGCAATTAATCACTTGTAACGGTTCATCGGAGAGCAAAACTTGTCGTCGCCGTGGCCGCCGGAATTGGGGTTCCCCGTCAATTGTTCGAACAACCGCAGAGGAGACCAAGTTAGCTTAATCCATAATTTTCCATATTCCTTCCCTTCGGCAGATTGTCAAGAGCAGGAATGTGAATTTCCCTCTTAAAGTTCCAATTTGCACTATTTCGAACCCAAGCTATGTAAGCAGGGGAAGATGACAAGATAAACTTGTATTCAAACCACTCTCCAGAGTAGTATAACTTCAAAAAGGGAAGCTTATCCGATCAAAGAAGGATCAGAATCACCGGCCACAGGCCGTATCGACAAGAAATGGGATACCGGGGGAAATCTGGGATACCGCATACCTCGAGTAAGAAAACTCTATCCAAAACTTGAAATGACTGATCTTTCGGACATGATACTGTACTCTAACCCTTAAAGATCAAAATCTAGGTCTAAATTCTCTAAATCTTATACCCCAAGATCAATTTAATTAGAAACAATAATCGACGGTTATGATTCGTCCAAATATAAGCAAAAATATCAATGCATCATCTTAGAGTTTATATCTTATGATTTGGATAATTAGAACCTAGGGTTCACTAATTAAGGGTTAGGGTATAGTATCATGACCAAAAATCCTGTTAATTCGAGGTCTAGATAGCGTTTATACTCAAGGTATATAGTACCCCGAATTTCACTCGGGGTACCGTAGAAGGCACCATATATATGATTTATGATCAAAGAATAAAACATCACAATCGAGTGTGCTAACTATTAAATATTATTCGATATAGGCATATCACATATTCACTTATGAAGCGAGAGCAGAAAATATATACAAGATCCAAAAAGTTCAAACATGTAGATAAGTTAACTAATATAAATAATAAAATGAACTTCTCCGACCAACTGCCCGCCGGTAAAAAACTAGTATACAGTATATGCTTGCATTGAGGAAATAAGCTGGTTTTGGGACCTCCATAGAAACCAGCACGTCGACATTAATTTGGGATGGGCTGCATTCCTTTCAAGAGATGGTTGATGTTGAATTTGGGAAATGAGGAGAAGGGTGTCGATTTCGGCATCATACTCTAGCATGTTTGGAAACAACGAAACGAAGAAACCCTGGACGGGAAGAAGTTCTGTGAGCAAAGTCTAATCAACAGGATCTTCGCCTTCACAAGTGTTCTGCATAGACCCCAACAGAATGACCTGAAACTGAAGGTTGGGATGCAGAGCTCGAAGGAGTGTCACTAGCTTGCGTGGACACCTCCAAGGGAAGGATGGATTATGATCAACACTGATGGCTCTGTCATTAAAGAGACGAACAAGGCAGCTAGCGGAGGTCTTATTCGTGATTGCTTGGGACGATGTCATGGAGCCTTCGCTGCCAACTCGGGAAGTGCTCCATCACAAGAGCATAATTAAAAGCTGCAGAGTTATGGCCTCTCAATGGCATGGGAGTTGGGATTTAGGAAGGTGAACCTTTGCCTTGACTCTACCACTGCAATTAACATCATCAAGCACAGTGATGATGTCGACCACAGACATGGCCTTGTTACACTCGAGAGAAACAGGCTTCTGGCGCTTGACTGGGATGTACAGATTTCCCATGTTTATAGAGAGTGTAACAACGCTGCTGACTTTTTAGCACACAAAGGCCATGGCCTTCATTTTGGAGCCCATCGTTTTGATATTTTTGGCTCGGAGCTTAGCCACTGGCTTTCTTTTGATGTAATGGGGATCACCCATGAACGGTTAATTAATATGAGCTAAGATGCCATTGGCATCTGTCTTCCTACCCAAAAAAAAAAAAAAAAGACCTGAACGGTGAGCCAACAGATAGATGTAAGGTTTCGAAAGATAATGGAGGAACCAGTCAACAATGAGTGCCTTGAAGAAGTTGTGATTTTTAGGAGCCAAATGAAATGTTAGACCCACTCAAACCTGGACCACTTCCAAACCGGCCACTACCGAGGATCAAATGGTGAAGTGGGCTTTGGGCTTTATGACCCAATTAAGTGATCAAGAAATAACCAGCCAATCTCACTTACTCGAATCAATATCATTTACATCTATAAGCTTTGACAAGCAAATCATGGTAAATTGCAATGAACTCGTGGCTGACTTTTGGCCACAAAGACCAACATTTTCCAACTTCTCACTGATACATTTTTTACATAACAGGCCTCTCCTTTATATATTTCGCCATAAAAAGAGGGCAGTGATAATGTACCTGTATAAGTTAAAAGAAAACCAAACCACTACAAAGGTAACCATTTAACGAATAATATTGGAGTACAATGAAAGAATACAATTCAACATTTTGAACAACTCAAATACATGTTTGCCAGACAACAACAAAAAAAAATCCAAATCAAAGAGATCGATCAATCAAGGAGAAGTATAGCTATTAATCTACTTAAATGATTTGAACATCCTGATCATGACCGACCACATTGGTGCAAGTCTATCCCTACAATGACTGGCAATATTGCCAAGACCAAGTAATTAACGACGCTAAACAACATACATATTATGCACTACCTACCAACAGAACTCGAGCTAGCTAGTCGATTATCAAATTTGACGAGTAATCGACGGAAAAACAAACGGATAATCCATATCATCCGATGGTCGACATCATCTTGACGAATTCATCGTAGTTGACTTGACCGTCGCCGTCCAAGTCCGCCTCCTTGATCATCTGTTCCACTTCTTCATCGGTCAGCTTCTCTCCCAAGTTGATCATGACATGCCTCAACTGTAATGCCATATTAATTAGTTAAACCAATAGGTTGGAATCTGATTAACTAGAAGAACAAGAAAGAGAGGGGGGAAAAAACCCCAAATGCAATGAATGTCAATATTTTGTGCAGGTAATTTGCTGGCAATGCCTTGAAACCAAGAGGAGGGTGACGAATACGATCCAATCTAACATAACATGTGAATTACCAGATAAGCACCATGACGTGTCCATCTAATCCAGTTATTAGTTCCAATTTTTTACACCACTACCTATACCTTTTTTTTTTTTTTTGGTTTATTATGCACTAAAAACCTTACACAAGTGTACGAAAAATATTAATCTTTTTTATATGTTTCTTCTTATATTAATTGTAGTTTAACGAGAAGCAAGGGTGTAATTAAGTGAATTTTCTAAACGCGTCTCCAGCTGTACATTGACATCTAGAAAACTGGTTTGACACGTTATATTATTTATATAAGAAGGCAGAGGCTGCTATGAGGTAGCTTAGCTCAGTTAAAAATAATATGAAAGGAAGGCTGCTATATATATTTATATATAAATATATCGGTTAAATTAATTGTCACGTTAAAACTAGTAAAAAATCCACCATGGTAAAAGTAAAATGAAATGGGATATTGCGGGGTAAAGTTTACTATCACTACCTCGGTAGCGGAAATGTATCCATTCTGATCCTTGTCGAACACTTTGAACGCCTCCTTAAGTTCATCCTCGTCATCCGTCTCCTGCAGCATCACAACGACGCCGTGCCACACACATTAGATTATCGATCTGCAACAGCAGAACGACGTCGTAACGAAGGCGAGGGGAGGGGCAGTAGCGTACCTTGATTTTTTTGGCCATGAGGCACAAGAACTCGGCGAACTCAATGGTGCCGTTGCCGTCGGCGTCGACTTCCGTAATCATGTCGTGAAGCTCTTCCTCCGTCGGGTTCTGATCCAGCGACCTGATCACCGTCGCCAGCTCCTCGATCGTAATGCAACCTGCAGCAACGACACCGTTTTCTTTACTCAATATAATATATTAATATCTATGCCAGCTGGAGACCGAAAATGGAAAAAGAATTATTAAGAAAAACGTACCATCTCCATCCTTGTCAAAGAGGCAGAAGGCTTCTTTGAAGTCAACAATCTGCTCCTCGGACAGACCTTCCGCCATTGTTGTAGACATCATGGGAGGAAGCTAAGCTGTGTACAGTTGTCTTTCTAGGGAGAAACAGAAGCAATGGGGAAGGAAGGAAATAGCACAGAGAGAGAGAAGGGATTGTTGAGTTGAGTATAGCTCAAGCTTAGCTGGGATGAGGGGTTTATGTAGCATTTCGATACGTGTATTTTGAATTCCCCGGTTTTTGTTATTGTTATTATTATTGTTATTAATGGCGATGAGAGTCAAATGAACTTTTATATTATATTATATGACTGAGATTTGGATCGATGTTAAAATGGCCGTGTTTTTTTTTTCCCCCACGACGAAAGTACAAAAAGGGGCCAGCTTTTCCACCTGTCCTTTTTCTGCCACTTTTCTCTGTTTCTCATTTATGGAGAGACCCAACGCCACGCCCCATTTTTTTGGGGTTTGGCCATTTCGATACGCTAGCTGTCAATACCATTAGGGCGGTTAATTAACTGGTTTAGTGGTTAATTAACTGGTTTAATGGCTAACCTAACCGATAATCTTCTGTTTAATTAAGGGGTAGATTGTTAATCGATAAGTCGGTGCCGTTTCGATTTTTTGATACTCGAATTTGTTTTATTATTGATTAACCTGTACGTGACCCTGCTAGGATTAGTAGTCGATGGTTATCCGGTCAATATGGAGCTACCTCCTGGGTGTGACGAGGATAATTCGGTCAGTTGTTTCATTGTTTGCGAGTTGATCAATGGCTTTAAGCAGGTACCCTGAACATGGTTTAGAAATTTTTCCGTGGAAATACTTTTCAGGTGGAGCTCAGGCGCGGAGTGGGAATGATACCATTTTGTCTGCTCGTTGTACATCGATGGGATTGTGGTTCTGTTTAATTTATGTGGATGATATGATTGTCACAAGGAGTGATTTAGTTTGTATATGACTATACGAGAATTGACAACAATTATTCATATCAATTGTTTAACTTGAAGGAGTTGGGGGATCTATCTTTTTTTTTTTTTTGGGATTTGAGATTCAACATTCAAACACATTGAAGAGTATATATATGATTTGTTGAAGTCAGCACAGGTTGCATAATGTAGACCCGTCTTAGGAGAAGAACTTGAATTTGAGCAGATAGAGTGGAGATTTGTTTAGAGTTCCAACCACTCTATCGTAGCTTGTTGGGAAATAGAATTTATCTCACACATATGCAGCTTGATATCGCCTATGCAGTTTAGGTTGCGAGTCATTGAGGAGTGGCGAGAATTATGCATTTTGCACCAGTTCACGGGCTTCTGAGTTGTTTTAGGCAGATGCAAGATGTCTTTCTTGTCATAGAGCCTGTGGTGGAAGTAGGGGTGTCAGTTCGGGTCGGGTTCGGTTACCAAAATCGAAACTCGAAAAAACCCGAAACCGAAAATCACTAAAACCGAACCCGTCAAGGACTTGCGGGTTCCGGTTACCCGAAACCCGAAAATTCCTTATTGAGTTCGGGTTCGGTTAAAGCAAAATCGAAATCCGAAAACCCAAACGCCTAAAAATACGGGCTGAGTTCTGTTCATTGGAGGTTTTTAGCCGGAACCCAAAAAACCGATAAGCAAAACCGAACCCGAAACCAAAAACCAGAAATCCGAAACGAACCCGAAAAACCGAAAATCTATATAATCGGGTCGGTTTCGGGTAAACCCGAAAAACCGAACCCGAATTGACACCCCTAGGTGGAAGCATTTGTTGATGCTGACTATGCCGGTTGTATAAGGATACTCGGTTAACGTCTGACTAATGTGTTCGCGTTGGACAATCGTTCGTGTCATAGAGATGTTAGAAGGAGGAAAGAGAATCAAAATCTTTTTACAAGCGCTAAGCATCAATCAATGCATAAGTAGCTCAAAGTTAGTTTGGTTGCATCGACTGCTTAGAGAATTGGGAGTTACTTTTTCGATTCACAATGCACATTTATGGGATAATATATTAGTATTACTGCAATACATATGATTATCAATCATGTGTTGCATAATAGGCCATAATATATTGAAGTCCACGATTCACGTCAGTTACTTAGTGGCTGAATTATAGCTAGGTTGGGTATCTCTCAAGTGAAGACGCCAGATGGTGGATATTCTTACAAAAGAGGTTGCTCTGAGTCGATGTATCTATCATTCAAATTGATGTTGTGCACCACACATGAATTTGAGTGTGGGTGTTCGAATGTTAAGTATAGGCACCATTAATTATCTGTATAATATATATCACCAATGCTCTACATATTAGAGTTTGCTACACAAACCTATGTATGACTTGTAGCCATTGTGCAACCGACAAGTTTATTATAGTAAATATCTTTGAAGAGCACAACTTCTCCTATGTAGATTAGTTTTGAACCTCAGGATACCAAGTTAAATTATTGATCATTGATATTTTGACAGAATTTGACATACTTAAACGGGATTTTTATATCATTCTTTCAGGATTATCTTTCCTTTTTTTTTTTTTAAGGATTTTATCTTTCCTTTTGAATGCACGGACTAGGGAGTATTTTCTCCAACTCCCCATAGGCCATAACCTTGATATTTGGATAATCTTGAGGGCTTGAGGCCATTGCAGGTATGTGTTGCAAATCATCTTCACAAGGAAGCTCGATATGTATATTGTGATAGTCATCCCTCAGCTTGTTTCTCTATAAAAACAATTTATTTAAATAACGCGAACTTAATCATTTGAAAATATGAATATAGATATAAGCATGATAGGGAAGTAGGAACCATTCAAAACTCCAATTTCGGACCATTGAATTTGTTGACGTGGAAGCATGAAATACTAAATTGAATTGAATGATGCAAGTAACAGCTGTATATGAGTCTGATGTTAGGGGTAGGGGGACAAAGCTCATTCAATGACGTAGACGGAGAGGGAAAGATGATTATGGGGAGATGGGTATATGGTTTTCAGTAGTAGGGTGGTTATACGGTCTGATCCGGTTAAATTGGTCCGAATTGATCCGGTTTATCAGCTCTTTTTGAGAATATAAGGACTAAAGATTGGATTGGATACAATACGGTCTTGAACTGGTTTGGTCCCAATTCGATCTTGATTTTAGATTGTGGTTGTGGGAATTTGAGTGGCCTAAGGCCTAAAAGGGTGAGGAGGTTAAATTTTGGGTGTTGGACTCTCTTATTCGGTCTTTATACGATTTTCGGTCCGGTCCCAAACGGTTTTTTACCTCAAATCTAGGCCCGAAAATTTGATTGGATTGTTTGCTATCCGGTCTCGGTCCTGGTTATATGGTCCGGTTTCGGGTAAAACCAAAAAGGCCGGACCAAATACCCAGCCCTAGTTTTCAGCCTGCACCTCGACCGTGTCGGTCTGATTCGAACCTAGAGTCATCATCGGGTGCTATCTGTTCATTTTGATATTCACTCGAACCGGGTTAAGCTTCGAAATATCAGTAAAAAAAATTACCGGTTTGATCAGTCAACCCACTATTAGTACCTTGGAGTAGGCATCGGTCCAATAGTGAAAGATAACTTAGAACCAAAAACCGGATTAATAGTGCATTCGGTCTGTTTGGTCCGGTCCAAATGTTAATACGGTCCATTTTTCTTCAGTATATATAAAATTCATTAGAATCAAGAACCGAACCATATTATATTCGATTCTGTGTGATCCGATCAAACATCAATTCGTTCCGATGTAATCAGGTGTGGGTCAACTCATTGTCCACCCCTACTTAGTACCTCGCCAATCGCCATATCACGAGATGAGAGAGAGATGCTCTGTCGAAATTATTTTTTCACGAACCTCGACCAAACACGTTAGACAGCTAATCAAAATCCATATACGTATTAGTGTTACTATATGGTAAGTCGATCATCCTCGAGGCAATAATAAAGATTCTTAGATTCATGCTCTGTACGAGAAGATGCTCCCAGCAAATCCATAATTCATTGAATGGATGAGGAATTTTACAATACTATATAGCATTGGTGCTATAGGTTTTTGCCTTTATGGTACAACTTGAAGTTGTACCTTTAACGTTATGGTACAACTTTAGATTGTACCTATACTTTTTGTACAAATTCTTTTATGGTACAACTTGAACTTGTACTTTTATGTGATGGTACAACTTCAAGTTGTAAAGTTGTACCATAACATAATGGTACAAATTGCTTTATGGTACAACCTAAACTTATACATTTAATGTTATGGTACAACTTCAAGTTGTACATTAAAGCACCAATACTATATAGCATGGTAGAAGTGCTCTTGAATGGATATGTAAACCATTTGCATTTTGGGCCTTGGGGGTTGTTATGGAAGATTGCGTGTAATCTTGCCTGCTCAAAAATATAAAATTAAACAGTTCGATTCAGATGTATTCATTTGTTCAGTGATTAGGTAGCTCAACCATCAACCATTTGTAAGTATTGGGGAAAAAAATGAATTTTAGTTGGAGCTTTTAGCAAAGTCAGAAGTTCGTTGGAAAAATTGCAGTTTAGTGTTTGACTAATAAATTAATATTTTTAGTATAATGAGTTATGTAAATAGGTAAAAAGGAGTTACCTTGTAGAAGTTAGGAATGACAATGGGCGGGTCTGAGGTGGGTATTTCGATACTCATATTTGTCGCATGGCAGGTCGAGTTTAAGTCGGGTAATTTATTATATGGCTCGGGTTGGAGTGGGTCGACCATGAGTATGTGATTTATGTGAAAAATATTAGAAATATTCGTTATTTTCGTTAGAAGACCAAGAAATAAACTATAATATGATAAATGTTGTTAAATTATTGGAGAAATTGAGGTTTTTATTTTTTTATAATTTTATGATAGCTAAAATATGAGGTACTAAAAGGAAAATTCTAAGTAATTTGACTAAGATAACATGTTATTTAAGCAAGAATGGGTCGGGAATGGGGCGGGTCAGGGCAGGTCTGGTCCATGAGAGTACCCATGCTCGCCCTGCTACGGGGCGGGTCAGACCCACCCTAAACAGGCCAAATAGGTCAGGTAAAACAGGTCAGGTCGAAATTGTCATCCTTATGTAGAACTGTACCTTC